GGCTTTGCGGGAGCGTCCCCCGCCGCAGGCATCGGCAGCCTCCTCCCCCCTCGGGCAGCAGCCAGGCCAGGGTGCCCCAGCCCGCAGGTTCTGGGGGTGCTGCCAGCCCGTGGGGGCACAGCGGGGCACAGGCGGGTACCGTGGGCTTCGATGTGTTTGCAGCATCTGTCCACGATGCGCGGGACCTGCTGGGTGATGGGGTTGAGGCTCAAGGTCCTCTTGCCCGGGCCTCTGCGTGGATCCAGCTCGTGGGGGTGTGAGAGCTGCAGGGCCTCCAGCAGCTTGGAAGCGTTGTCACTCAGGTCAGTGATGGAGTCCACGGACATGGCCCCCTGGGGTGGAGCAGAGGGGATTGCAGCACGGCAGGAAGCACCCCCCAGGTCCCGGGACACCCTCAGTGCCGCGACCTCAGAGTCTGTGGGAAAGGGAGGCACCACCTCCCAGCCTGCAGAGAGGTCTGCAGAGCCTGGAGAGCCCCAGAGGGACCTTTCACCTCCCCTGCGTTCATTTATGTGCAGTGCTCCTGGTGGGAGGTGCTTCTAAACGACCTCCCTACTGCAGCAGACCCTGCTCCTCATGGGGACGTGGGGAATGAGGGTTTAGCCACCCGTGCTGGAGCTGCTCCACACCAGGGGTTAGGGGCAGCCAGCAAGAGGCAGCTCTGGGTCTCTACTCAAAGAGGTGAACCTGCAAACCAAGCCCAGCCTAACAGCCACCTCCCCTTGCAGGACACAGGGCTAGAACCAAGAAGATGGTGGCCAGGGCTGACCCACCACCCCGTCTTCATTGCCCTTTGAGGCAAGGGAAGAATCACAGAAACATTTAGGCTGGAAGAGACCTTTAAGATCACCAAGTCCAACCATCCCCCAGCATTGCCAGGTCCCCACTGCCCCGTGTCCCTCACACCACATCTCCTCAGCACCCCACTCCCCCGAGTGGACCCAGCAAGCAGCTCCAGAACTCCCATTCCTCAACAGAAGATCCTGGGAAACCCTCTTTACAGGCAAAGCTGGAGCCTCCCCCAGCCTGCAGTCCCCCCACGCACCCTCCGCTGGCTCCGGGAGCTGCTGCTGGGGAAAGTTGGGGAAAGGGGCTCCTCCGGGGTGACCCCACAGGGTGCCAGGGCACAGCTCCTGCCCGCCGGGCACCTCTTCTGCCTCTGAGCCTGGAACCTCCTCACCGACGCCTCCACCTCCAGGCAGAGCCGGCGGCTCTTCCTCAGCTCCTCCTGCAGCTGCCTGTGCGCACGGTCGTTGGCGATGACCTGGTGGAGGGGGATCCCAAAGGTCTGAGGAGAGCAGTCTGGGGAGAAAGAGGGGAGGGAAGGAAAAGTGTCACCAGAAGGGAAAATCCGAGAGGGAGCTGCACTGGCAGGGCCCAGCTGAGGGGGGCACACGTGGACTCCTGCATGAAACCATCGATGCACAAACACACTTTGTCCACACCCACCCCCTTCCAGACTCACCCTGCTCTGCAGAACAGCAAAGCAACCCGGGACACAGCACTCGGCTCAATTTGGGCACCTCCCTCCCAGCTCAGCCCCAGCAAAAATCCCCAAATCAGCTCAAGAGCAGGGACCAAAGCCTGGGCAGAAGGCAGCTGCTCACCTTTCTTCTCCTTGGAAAAGCTCTCCAGCTTCTGGCGGATGGATTTACTGCCTTTGGGGCCATCTACGAGGAGGAAAGGGGGCAGAGGTCCTGCATCACTTGGCCACTCAGGATGTTTCCCTTTGTGGCCCCTGCAGGCAGGGCACGGCCACAGGGACCTCCTGTGGGCAGAGGGACACTGTGGGTCTGGCATGGCACCGAGGTGGCACCATGGGCAGCAGCTCCCTGGAGGAAACAGCCCCTCAGATGGGCCACCATCCTCCCAGCACGGAGGAAGGGACCCAGCCACAGCCAGGCACCTGGATCCCATGGCACCAAACCACAGCCATGGGCTAGAGACACCCCAGCTGTGGGACCCCCCCTGGCTCAGACTGCAGCCCCACAAACCTCTCACCATCAGGGCTCTGATGCCTCCCTACCCAGATGTGCCATCCTACCCAGATGTGTCATCCTACCCAGATGTGCCACCCAGCAGTGCCCAAAACCACAGGAACCACTGAGCCCAGAAAATTTACTGGTGTCACAAAACAGAGTCAGAGGAACCACGGCTGGTCCTTCTGGTGGCACCTCACCTTGCCTTGCCCCACCCGAGAGAGGGGCTCTGAGCAACCTGCTCTGGTGGGAGGTGTCCCTGCCCAGGGCAGGGGGTTGGACTAGGTGACCTTGAACACCCCTTCCAACCCAAACCATTCCATGATTCTATGAAAACACCACCAGAAGTCCCACCCCGGCCCTAGAGAGGTCCCAAGTACTCCCCATGCTGCACAGCCAGGGCCCACAGCAGCCACAAACAAAGCAGTCACCAGCCATCCCAAATCCTTCCAGGACACACCACCCTGTCCTGGCTTGGGCTCCTTGTTCCTGGGGAATTCTCTTCCTAGGAAGAGCTGACGGAATTGTTTGGGTTATTTTGGAAGGTTCAGAAGAAAGCTGTGGGGGTTGGTATGAGCAACAGGGGAGAAGAGCAGCCTGCAGGGGCTGTTCTGCAAGGCTCTGTCACTGGGGTGACCTGAGCAGGAAGATGAAGAGCAACCTAGAGACAAAACAAGCCCAGCTAAGGAGACAGAAGGCCACCAAAACTCTTCTGTTTCAGCACAGAACGAGGAGTAGGGAAATAACAAGCTGAGGCTGAGCACCAGCACAACTCTCTGCTCCTAAAGCTGTGCAGATGTTCCTGGGGGAAACCAACCACCAGGCAGCAGAGAGGAGAGGGACCACCAGGGTCCCCTGCCCAGGAAGCCTGAGCTGGTGGCTCCATGGCAGAGCCACGTGTGTGACCCACTGCAGACCCCCGAGGTGAGGACAACTGCTTCTCACCCAGCTGCAGCTCAGCACACGTGGTGCTGGGGGTGCTTCAAAGGTTTCAGCTTTCTTGGTCATCTCCTGCCTGAACCACAGCATCGTTTTGGTTGGAAGAGACCTTTGAGGTCATGGATTCCAACCATTCCCCAGCCCTGCCAGGTCCCCACTGCCCCGTGTCCCTCACCCCACATCTCCACGGCTTGGGAACCCCTCCAGGGGTGGGGACTCCACCACTGCCCTGGGCAGCCTGGCACAGCCCTGGGCAACCCTCCAGGGCAAGAAATTGTTCCTCAGGGACAACCTCAACCTCTCCTGGGGCAACTTGAGGCCGTTTCCTCTTTGTGCTGGACGCCAACCCAAAAAGCAAAGCCTGTCCCATTCCAGTGGTGTTAGGACAGTCCCAGGGGAGCCCCTGCTCAGCCACCCCACATCTGGGCTGCGCTGGGGGTCAGCGGCAGACACCAGCCCAGGTCACGTTCTCACACTCCCGGACACCCAAACGCTCCTCAGGAGCCTGCAGAGCCCCGGGAGGCTCCGCCCGGGGCGGGGGACAACAAACAGAACGGACC